TAAAAGCGGAGCGTTATTCTACCTAAAATGACTAATAAAGTATTTTTGAATTAGGTGACTAGGTTTACTGTAGGACATGTTTGTCTCTTTTGTTTCAGATAGTCTCATTTTACAGCATTCAAGTTGGTTGTTTTTTTTTTTTTTATTTAGGCTCTTTTTATATATCAGCTTTGAAGTAAAACAGATGCATGTCACTCGCAAATAAGAAGAAAACTTTGGTAAAAAAAATCAGGCTATTAAAAAATGTGATTGTATTTTGTTGCATCGGTGTCTCTCAATAATTCTGACCATACTGCCACTCTATTTAGGACGTACAATTTATCCCACTCTTATGTTAAAACTCTAGTTTTGTCTCCTGAAGCATTATTATAACGCTCCGATGCACCTTCTCCAGATATGCTTGTTAAGAGAACTGCATGCATTTCCTTTCAAATCACTCCTAACATATGGTTTATTTAAGGAAGAACCTTTTTTAGACATGAATATTATATTTGTAATTCAAATATATTGAATATAAATATTCAAACCTGCTTTATCCAGTTATAGTAGGTATAGTTTGGCTGTTTTGAAAATCCACCTTCAATAATAAAGAGAAAAGAAAGACACAGCATTTTAAAGTGACCACCTACTGAATATCACCAACCAATCTGAACTTTAAAATCCAGGCTTTTACAAGCTGATGGAAAGCTTAAGTCCATCCTTTTTTTAATAGCAGAAAAAAAATAAATATAATTATGTTTCATAAGTTTGGGGTGAAAAGGGCTGCCTGAGTCTGTGGGACCAGATTTACAGCAGTAAATCTTCTACATCGCAAAAATCAATATATGTGGATCATCTTCACATGAGCTGAAATTTCTGCATTTATATATGTATTTATATTCTCTCCCAGTATTGCTTTCTTATCTGGTCATCTTCAAAATGCTACAGACCGTTGCAGACCAGCTATCTGCAGCCAATACCAATTTCTTTTCCCTTCTTTTCATTTGCAGGCTGCACTGCAAGGGAGCTTTTTTTTTTTAAAGGCCATGGTTGATTTCTAAATGAAAACATAAATTGATGAGCTTCAGTTAGATACATCTGCAAGACCTAAATAACAGATGGCATCACTACAGACAAGGCTCCTTTATAGAAGCTAATCTTGTTATGTTCAGGTTTGCTTTGGGAAGATAGGTCATAACATGCTTCCTACAAAAATGATCCAGTGTTTTTGAAATAAACCAAACCTATCAAGTTAAAATGATCATTGGAGGAGACATGTTTACCTTTAAGCGACTTCCACTGGTTTTTGAAATAGAAAAAATAAAAGTTAAGCTATTCTTAACCAGCCTGCTTGTTAAAACAAGCATATATAAGACAAAAACTAAAAAGTATGTGTTCACATGTGGATGCACAGAAGTCATTATTTGTACAGTATAGGAAAATTTACAGTGAGACTAAACAGTGTTTCTCTTGTTTGGAAGATATTAGTTAAGAGCTTTTATTATATCTTCGATTGCATCTCTTGAAGGCCAAGAGGAAGAAAAGCCTGCTTAAAAAACCAGTGTGACAGCAATACTACTTCTCTGACCTGTGTTTATTCTACATGGTAAAAATTGCACCTGCTGATAGTTGGTGCAAGTCTCCACTGCCTCCAATGATGCCTCAAGCTGCAGTGCAAATGAACACCTCACCCAGAGAAGCTCTTTTTCTTCCAGTACCCTTGCTAAACCTTATTATTTCCAGCCAAAATGAAATACTTTCTACAAATTATATCATTTCTATGACCAAGTTCATTATGCTAAAAAAAAAATGCTTTCCACATGAATGCTAATTTCTATAAAAGACCTTCTGGTGATCTTATTTAGCTGAAAAAGAAAGCAAAAAGGTATTTGTGGAGCTTTAAATGCACATTTTTGTTAAATGTGAATCTGCTATACATTGAAAAAGTAGGTATGGTAAAGTAGTGTAATAAAAAAATAGCATAGTATTCAAGTTTGATTCCTCTTTGTTTGTTTTAAAGAACAGAAAATAATATAATATGTTAATATATGACTGACTTTCTAAGGTTTTTTTCTTTTCCAGAAGTAATCTCTGGATTGGCTGAACACTTCCCTGGTTGGATTAGGGGAACACTGTATAAAATACTCATACAGATATTGCTACAGAATATAATAAAATACAACTGAATATATTTTCTTGATTATGGGCCAAATTAAAAGAGCTAGCTGAATAGTCGATTGTAATAACCAAAATTGCCTTCAGATCATAATTTTTCTTATTAAAATTTAAATCGAATCCAAAGAAATAAATCAACTTATGTTCCTGCAGGGATCAATTTAAGAAGATACCCTGCCTTCCAAACCTTTATGAGATTAAAATGAATACCTTCTGTGCTCTCTGAGAGAGAACCACACTCAAAGTCTTTTTTTAAACAGACGTGATTGAGTCATTGCCACAAGCATAGGAGATGTAGTTCTAAAGAACTACATATCCTCTCACTTCCTGTTACAAGAACATGACCATTTTACTATAAGAACATCATGTGGTAAATTAAATTAAAGAGAATTCATGTGTTGTTCTTGAATCTGTTCTGTGTGTGACAACATTCAGCTTCTATTATCAACAACATTTTTAAATTTCAGAATGAGAAAGAATGAACGACTCCTTATAACAACAGTCTGGTCATTTTAACACAATAGTTCAAACACATGAAGACACACTCTACTCACAGATACGCTGTTTGCCTCAAATAACAAATCCCAAGGTAACAACGTATAAAACACTTTAAGATAATAAAACACTAACAGTAACATAAACTCTCACTGATATGCTTAGAAAGAATAATTACATTTAAACACTTTATTGTTTTGGAGCAAAATCCCTGCTGACGCAGATATCAGGACTCTTGATATCAATATATTGTTTACCATATATTTATTGTATAGATACCCGTTAAAGAAGGCTTCTGTTGAAGGCTTGGATTGGACATGAGCTCTGGATCAGCATCCTTTTTTAGAGCCAAGGACGATATAAAGAACGGAGTGACCTGGAGTCACACTCCTCTAATATAAGTACATTCACATTCAGAAAAAATACTTTTTCTTGGCATTATTCAAAAGCTGCCATGTTGACAGCATCTACAGGTTGCTGAAGACGTGATTACCCCAGCATGCTACTTAATGCTGTAGTTATCTACCACTGAGCTGAGGGGAATATTATTTTCTGACCTCCCTTTCCACACATTTCAGTGTGGTTGTTGGTAAGATAAGTATAGGTACTTATTCAGCTGTGCGGTCACTTGCAAAAAAGAAATAGGCCCCAGTGTGATGTCATGTTGCCCTCATAAAAACAGGAAGTCACACAATATTAATTTGAACTTTCTGGAAACGCATCAACAAAAATGTGTGATATATAAAAGGGTTTCAACCAAGGGTGCTCCTCTAAGCATGGGATTATCTTCCTACCATTAAACATCCTTAAAATTATAGGTCATGTTTAAAAGAAATCTGTGTCAGTGAGAGATTATTTTACTGCAGCAAAGGTTGCATAATTATTTTTTTCTTAATTCTTCCCATGGATGTAAGTGCAAGGTATGTAAAGGTGACATTTTAAGAACATCGGTTTGACGTAAGGAAGGACAGGCACAACAAGGTAAGGACAGAAAAGGGTAGCAAAGAAGGACGGACATGATGGAAGGAAGAACACAGGGAGATAATAAGGAAGAGAGAGAGAAGGGAAGACATTAAAATCAAGAGAACAAAACATTTCAAACTGACCAGGAACCCTGCAATGCACCCAAGGTACATAAAAAAATAAAAAGCGAGGGACGTTCTTCAAACCTCATTAATCATCCTGTGCACCTGTTTTCATCTTTAGCACTCATACCTCCTATGTAAAAACACAACCTAAAATAATAACAGAGAAAAAGCCAAAACAAACCAATATTTCTCAGCTAAATATTCATAAAACCCTGGTACTGATACTTGCAGAAGAGTCACTTAATTACCTCCAGGAAACAGAGTACCTACTCAAATGTAAGCCCAAGGGAATAAATGCAACATGATGAGTATTACCACACCGACATTGTTAGAGTGATACCAATATGCTCTGAGCACTGCTCTGGATCTAAAGCATCTGTAGTGACTGTGTAAGCCTGTGGGTGCAGCTTCTCTGCCACTGACAGGAATAGCTGCCAAGAAGTGCAAGCTTGTCTTCTATCGGCAGTCTATTCATCACCTTTTCCACAGGGACGCCTTTGCATATGTATATATTTATACCTGCTAAGAAGTGGGAAGGGTGACAGTAGCATCCCAGGAGGAAGAACAGAATAAATATAGGAAAATAAATTATTTCTTTGCATGTGATACAACCAAGAAGTTCATTTGCTGTTTGCTGTAAATCAGCTTCACCTATTTATTTCATGTTCCATCATCCCAGTGACAGAGATTACTGATTTTGCTGCTTCAAAATGGCAGCAGTTCTAAGATTTTTCATTATGAACAGCACCTTTTTTATAAAACCCTGCTGCTGCAGTCAGCCAGCATGTGGAGTGCCTCTGGAAAGGTCCATTACAAAAAAACAACAACATACCCCTTAAAGTTGAGGCAAAATGAAAAATGAATGCTTGGACTGCATGTAATGCTTGTTGTCACCCTGTTGTGACTTCAGATTCAACAATTACTTTACTGTATCTTAACGTTTTATTTGCTATTGGAACTGTAAGCGACAAGAATTTTGATTGTTGATTAGAACAGATGTGCTTTCTGTGGTTTAGCGAGCATGATGACACTAAAAAATGATGGAGTCTACAGACATAGGGAGATAGAAAACCGGCACTATTAGTATACGGAAAAACTTTGAAATTAATTGGTAAATTTCCTATAACCAAAAGACTAGAAAATGGGAAAAATTCTTGAAATTCTTCTTAAACTTCTTGAAAAAAAACATCAATTTGCATGGTTGCCATGGTAAAATAAAAGCCAGGCAGAAAGAAAGAAACAATGAGTCATATATATGCTCACCCTTGCAAAGTGCTCTGGGTCTCTCAGAAACACTGTCCTCTCCTTAGCAATGCTGTTGCTGTGGTAAAAGTCTACCAGCTCGTTGAGGGAGGAGAAGGCCTCGTCCCACACGTAGTACTGGCTGCAGCGGTCCTGGAGCACCTTGAAATGCTGAACATGGTCCCCATAACTAAAAGAACACACAAACAGAGAAGAGGGGAAATTGATGTTTTGAGTGGAATGGAGTTTATTATATTCTACACAAACAAGAAATCAAAATCATCATATGATCACCAATCTTATGCCATAAGTCATATTCATTTTGAGCACTGAGGATCAATGTCCAGGCTCGTTTTCTTTGAACACTGATGGAGCAAAACGCTTGTTTTTCTGTCCAAACCGCTGCAAATCCCTCTCGGCAAGACACTCCCACAGGGACTTGTGATCCTGCCCCCACCGTGCTTGGGGATAAAGCAGCTGATGCTTGTCCATGTTTTTCTTCCTCCAGGAGAGTTTTATATTGAAGAAAGATAATGAATGGAATCCCACACAAGCCAAGGAACAGAATCTGCAGAGTGATCAGAGGCTAAGTGGACCTCACAGAACTGATTCTTGAAAAAAAAAACTTTAAGATACGCAACACTGGAGGCATGGACGTCTTAGAGAAAAGGACAATAACTTCCTTGCTAAAGTTGCTGATCATTGGAGTCCACTCAACATTTTCCAAAGGTGATCACAGAGGTTTAGATCTGGTAAAAGTTAGGGAAACCATTAAGAACTAAACCATTTGGGGTTTTGATGATATTGATGATTCCATGTATTCACTGTTGTTTAAAGAAAGCTAACAAGAAGCTAATGACGACAGCATGGTACCCCATGCTGGCATGTATTGAACTGTTTTCTTTTTAAAGCTACAAAAAAAATCTTATTTAGGGTAAAAATGTTATTATAATGAGGAATATTATTTGATAAAAAAAATTGTATGTTAATAAAACATACTTAAAAAGTGATGGATGGCTTGAACATGCACCAAATGTGACTCAATCAACTCAACCTTTGTCCCTTTTCTGGCTGTGCAAACAATAGCTTAAAAAACTTTATACTTTATTCTCGGCCTACTTCATAACAGGGCCTAGACCTACTGCTATATAGGTCACCATAAGGGGGAGCTGCAGCATGGTTAGCCCCATCTTCTCACAACAGAGGTAAATACTGAAACACATTTAAACAAAAAAAGTGTCTTCATGTCACAAGTTGGTTTAAACAGAAAATTCTTTCAGGTCCAGCTTTGGATAGATACCAACTCTACTGGCCTTCAGTCTGCAGAGATTTCCCTGTGGCTGCACAGCTGTCAGCTGTTGAAGCTGGCATGTATTCAGTCTTATCCGTTTAACTCTTAAAAAAACTGCACTGACCTTATTTCCCATCTATTTTAATTGAATTAAATGCTAGTTTTTAGGACCAACAAGACAAATAAAAAAGACTTGATTTGGTAAGAGATTTATGCATTTTAATAGTTTCAAATGTGTTTCTCTGCATGTCTGTGTGAGTGAGTGTGTGTCTGTTTGTATTTTTGTTAAAAGAGCTATTAATGACGTTTACCTGGGCTGCTTGTGGGTTTTTTGTATCACATTAAGCCAACCAAATGTCATTTTTTGGTCAAATCTCATGACACCGACCATTTGAGAATTACCTGTTAAACTGAGGTCACACTGGTCTGGCACCATTTCATGACACATTTTGATGAAAAAGAACACATTATGTTTCCATGCATCTAAATAGTGATGAGCCGCAGCTAGTGACACATTTAACTGTAGCCGTGGTGTTAAAGTGTGTACTTTGATGTGATAATTGAAAGAGTTTGGCCAGTAGAAATTGGCAATCACCTGCTCCGTTGTCCTGCTTTGTGGAGGTTGCTAAGTAACTTGGAAACCTATCTTTAGAAATCTGGACATCTCCTAGTGATTATGTGCTTATATAACTGTTGCAAATATGTAGTGGAAATCAGCAAACGCCCCCATATTTCTAAACAAATCACAGAGGGTGTATGTGTGTCCATAAGGCTTACATAGGTTAATGGCTTTTAAAGTGTTATCACATTGTTTCCATTCATTTTAATTTGATCTGATTTCACTTAGAGATGGTTATAGATTCTTTAGATAATTAAAAAGAAAATTTTCCCTGCATATGAAAATAGCAGAAAGTAAAGTGTGTATCTGTGCAGTGAGGTTTTTATTAAAAAGGAAAGATCGTTTTCATCACTTTTGTTTCAAATGCTTGTATGCTGAGAATCTCAAAGGCCCACAAATTGTCATGATTGACATAAAAAACACAGAGAAATACAAATTTAAACATGGAAGTTACATAAAGATCACAGTCATTGATACATGGATTTGCAACTGTCCCTTTCACCTGTAGTTTTTATCCAGGTTAAGCAAAGAAATGTTGGTTTGGATGAGGTATAAACCTGGGTTAAGATAAAAAAAATTTTTTTATCTTAGTCAAGCAAAAATGCTAGAATCCTTGCCAGAAAGAAACTCAAACTCAAAGGCTGCTTAAATTAATTTGGTATAAAGTGTTTTCATAGTTTTTAAAAGCTATGAATTTACGGAATATCAACATGGGGAAAGTGGGTTTTTTTTTAACTTGAGAGCCAAAAATTAAGGTAAGTTAGTAAAAACATCAAAATATGGCTAAACATTTAGTGAAATATTTGCAATATGCTTTAGTGGAAAATAACAAAAAATTTTGCAAATCATTTATCACCTTAGAAATTCCATTTAATCCTACACATACTTTATTGTCGATTCAAAAATAGTTGTTTATCAAGGGACAAATCATGCAGGAAAAGGAAAACGAGGATGAGTTATTTTGCTGGGAATCGCATTGACAATTCTGATAATTAACTTCCAGAGATAGTGCAGAAGCAGTTAGCTGTAATAATGCAGAACACATCTGTCTCTGCTGGATTACAAGCACTCCCTGCACATTCTTTGCAAGTGGCATCTCATCTCTCCGATTCACCATAATTAGGGCTCTCAGCAAGATATGGAGCGATTGTGTTTTCTCCCCAAGTGAAAGGAAATGGAAGAGAGAAAATGAAATAGAAGCAGGGATACAGCAGACAGTCCGACACAGATGAAAATAAAAGTTATTTTTGAAACTTTAGCTTTGTACCAGCACATACCGGTTTCAGCAAGGCTAAGAGTCCTCTTAGCTCATGGTTTCTATCATCAGTCTTTTCTCACTTCCCTATTCTCATCTCGCTTTGGCCTCTGCCAGCATCTTGTTTGCTAATCTGCTGTTTTAAACTGCAGATGTGTGGAATATTTTTAACGACCAAAATCGCACTGCCAGCTGTCAATGTAAAAGAGAATGTGTGTTAAGTGCCACATAGAGTCTATGTGTTTCAAATCGTAGGTTTAATTACTTTTGTTGCTGACAATGTGTATCGTGTGAATACTCCTTGTTGTTCCGTTTTATATGCAGGACTTAAAGCATATTGGCTGTGTGCATGTCAGTCTGTCCTTGCTATGCATGTCATAGGGAGGTGGTCTAGGCAACATGGAGCATGAATAAAGTATCACCTGTTTTAAAGTTGAGTGGATTTATTTGTCCTCTGAGACTTTGTGATACGAATGATAAAAGACACTGAGTGGGAGGATAAAAAGTTAGAAATGTGGCTCAGTGGCACCAAAGGTGCAGAAGTGAACAAAAGGCCTAAAACTAATGAATCTTTTATTGCAATAGTAGATTTTACACATTTATTTTTGTTATCTAATCTTTAGTTTTAGCACAATTGATTAAATGTGATAAAAAAAAAAAAATACATCCGCTTTTGACTGCAGGAGGGTGACATTTGTAGCACCTTGACCTTGCTGCAAGGAAGTCCTGGGTTTGAATACTAGCCGAGGATGTAAGGAGTTATCATATTCTCGCTGCATAAGAGTGGGTTTTCGTGGGTAGTTCTGACTTCCTCCAACATTTCAAAAACATATCTGTTTGGTTGTTTGGCTATTTGAATGTCTTCTCTTTGAGAAGATTCATCGCTCTAAGGTGACATCATATAAAGTCGGGGTGCGGGCGGGGAGTGGCTGAACACTTTTTACAAAACATCCTGCTGCATTGACGGGTCCTCACAAACTCCCTATGCTAAAGGAACTATAATAGTAAGCATACAGGCTCCTTTTCCTACCTCCTTTCTTAACACAGCACTATTCGGACAGTGCTTACCACAAAGAATCTTAACACCCTTCAAATTTAGCCATAGAGTTCTTACTGATTTGCTGTATTCAGATGCAATCAGTGCCTTTAGTTATTGCAGGTCCATACTATCCTGCCTCTTAGGAATAAATTTACACACTGGGTCATTTCAAATTGTTTATTTACGACTTTTTTATGAAATGACCTTTAATACTTGTCATTTATTTGTTTTTAAGTATTTGTGTTACTGTCATTAATTGTACTTTTCATTGTAATGTATTTTATTCCCTTTTGGCATTTTTTATTATTTTATTTTTTTCAGGTTAACAGCAGTTTTGAGTAATTTTCTCTTTTCTGTTTGCATGTTTGATCTCCTTTATTCTATATTTTCTCTGATGCTTTTCTTTTAACACTTAGCTATTTTGCTTGTAAAATGCTTTGTCCTACTAGAACTGCTGGAAATGTTCAATATAAATTAACAAGACCTTGATTTTATCGACACAGAAATGGTTCACCGGGTAGAAATAACCTTGTTCCATGACCATCACACTCCCCAAACCTAAATAGAAACTCAGAGAGAGGAACTTTCAAACCACACCCTCCCCCTTCTCTCGCTGTATTCTCTAAAGTAGTTGATTTAAAGGCGGGTGGGGGGGGTTCATGTCCTGTGGCAGGTGTATGATGCCTGTTAAACTCTAACTGACCTAGTTCTATTGCACACCCTTAAAAAAAATAATCTGCTCCTGATATCAAACATGTGGAATCTTCAGGATGATAAAGTTTGCAGACTAGAGCACATTTGCCTGTGCCAACGTTAGCTAGTGACATTCTATAACAAAGATGAAAAGTTCTGTATACATTTTGAAATTAAAACTAATAATTCTAGTAAGATACTGCTGTGTGTTCCTTTAAAATTCTTAAAAGGTTAAGATGATACCAAGTTACAATCTGTGATATGTATAACTAATTATCTTTCCACAGATCTAT